AATACCCCCGACTTCAAAGTCGAGGGCATTAAGATCTCGAAGATGGGATGTCAGTCCATCAAAGGCTACCTCCTACCCCACCCTCCCCTCTCCCGTAACATTTTGTCATCTCTCCCTCACACTTCTTTAAAACCCATTTACATTCTTCGGTGGGGAGGCGGGGTTGGTCAGCCACTAGATTTTGAGTCAAACGTTCCTGGTAGGGAGGGGCACTGCCCTTACCTCCGTCATGGTACAGAATGGCACGTACCTTCTCTTTACAGTACCAATACATCACGTATCAAACAGGCCATGAGACTAGAAAAACTTGTCGTTATCTTACAAAAAGATCATTATGGAGACTTGGCTGTTACCCAGCCCCTCCTTCTAATCAATGTGCGACAACCTCCTTTCTTGCCTCTCTTCCACTCTCACCCGGTGAGAAAATCATTTTTTCTGAACCAATTTCAAGGAAATGTTTCTTAACTGTGAGGATAACTAGGGTCAGACCTTGAGGGTTGAAGAGTTAATTGCAAGTTCTGTCGTACCTGATTTGCTGTTAATACAATCCTCGGGGAGTAATGATCGCGCGACTTCGCGATCCCAATAATCTTCTGAAACCCGCCAGCTTTATTAGCATGTCTAAGTTACGGGAAAGAAAAGAAAAACACGGTTAGAAAAAAAGAGAAAAGCCAAGAGTATCCGATAAGGATGAAGCTAGTCATTCTTGGAGAACAGTGGAACCAATGATCTACCGACCGATTTCGATTTAGGACGTTCTGTCACTGAGCTATGGATTTAACTGAATAAGAAAAATGATTTTTCCTGGCTCACTAAGAAGCTTTACACACTAAATGTCTGGTTGGAAGAAAGAGAGAGAGACAAAGAGTATCTGATAAGGATGAAGCTGGTCAAACTTGGAGAACAGTGGAACCAATAACCTACCGATCTCTAGTTAGGACGTTCTATCACTACGTTATGGATTTATTTGAATAAAAACAATGATTTTTCCGGGTTCACTAAGAAGCTTCACAAACTGAATTTCTAGTCAATGCCGAGAACAGTATGAAAGTGCTGTACCATTACCTTCCATTCATTAGACTTTTATTCATGAGTTGATGAATCGCACACAGTATAGCACCGATTGTGTTCTCTTCAGCTCGGACATTGGAAGGTGCGCCAGGATAGGGCAGACGATGAAGCAGATCTTTGATTCCGTATTTAGCTGCGAACGAATAGAGAAATAAACGCATTCACAACAACAATTCTAACTTCAAATCGAAAATATTCCGATATGTCTAACATTACTCGACAGGAGTTTCCAATGCGGTTACTTCTTAGTGTGTCGCTGTAAACCAAGGTAATCACTTTAGTGTTTTCTTTGACGAAGCTGCGGTAAACTTTACACTACAACAGACAAGAAGAGGTCAATATACACACCTAAAACATCCTTGTTCCTCGGGTCGATTGCTAGATTTCTCATCGCTGTTGAAACAGATCTCACTACAGGGTCATGATTAATTCGTAGAAGTTCTACTAAAATGGGAAGACCCTTCTCTTTCCGTACTGCTGAGCGGACAATGATAGACCACTGAAAAATTAATTTGTATAAAACAAAAACTATTTTAAACAATTATCTCCCTTTCTCTTCGTTTCCAAAATTCCCAAAAGCAAACCTAGGTCACATTTTCTTCAGAGGTTGGACCGAACTACTATTAACCAATCGACCTAGTGACTAGCATCTAATTTCTCCTTACATTATCACCCCTGAAACTACATTAAGATCAAGAAAATGGCGGAAATTATCACCAACTAAAGAAGCTATTGATTATTAAACGCATTCTCCTTTCCAGCACCTTAGCAAATGTATAGAGAACACTATGGAGAATATAAATACTGATGATATAGTCTAAAAGGTGAACAAGCTGAGATGAAACTCTTCCTTTGACCGCTTCAGCCATAATTAACAGGTACGACTTGACTATTTCTGGTTGCCATAGTAATTCCACACCCTCCACGAGATCTCTCCTCATCTGCGGCTGTTCAGTTTCTTTGGGCGCTCCTTTCTTTTTCTACTTTGATCCCGTCCCGCATCTCGCCATACAACCCGGGTCGTGTTTGGTTGATTCCTTGCCGGGTTGGATGGGCATTGGAGCNAACAAAACTAATACTTAACATCAATGATACTTTTTTTCTTAGTTTTTGTACGGTTGATGCATAATTTGCAACTTTGACTACTAATTTTTACTTAATTCACAGAATATTCTGCTAAATATCAAAACAACGGTAGTTTCAAGACGCGTTCAGAATTTTATAAGTATGCAATTTTAAGAATTTTTCTATTTTCAGTAAATTATAATGCCTTTAGGCACGAAGGAATTGTTCCGTTGAAGGTCTTTGAACAAAGACCCAAGACGCCAACACGGAGGGAGAACCGTATTTAACAACGAAATTCGATCTAAGATACAATGAAGCTACGTTGGTACTGAGGTGTTAAAAGAGAAATTAGCCACTTTTGGGTGTAACTAGACTTTCCAAAGTCCGTTTTATTTTTCTAACTGTATTTTGGTAGAACTTCTCGCGGCCTCGCCGCTCGCCTCAGACCTTTCGCTTCGCGACTTGGAGCAAGTCTAGGTGTAACATAAGTTCTGATGGAAGTTAACCACCAGCCATCGAGGCGGTAGAAGCTTCTATCCTTTGAGGGAGATCCACTGAACTACATAACTTACGGTACAAGAGGATGGTATCTGACAGAGACAGAAAAATCTTCAACACTGTTGAAAATCAGTGTATGTTAAATTGAAAGTTGTTTAATTGGATTATGTTAACCATGTCCAAACGAGAATGGGGAAGCACCTTTGAGCTTAAAAGCAAGGACAAAAGAAAAACTTGAAGATTAGAAACCAATTGGGAGCCCCGGAAGGATCACTGAGACGAAAGTAAAACGTCAAAAATATTATGGCTTGGCAATACACATGAGAAAGACCATCATAGCAGTTCTTAATTAACCAAAGTGCGAAACATCAAGGTCCTGCTAAACAACACAGATTCTGTCTTGTCAAAAAAAAGATTTTTTGTTTAAATGGCAACAACAGATGGTGACAGCTGGAAAAGCCACATGTATAGATAATGATTGTTTGTCAGAAGCTTTCCTTGAACTTGTAAGGCCCAAACTCAGGACAATCAGCGATTCAAAGCTTCTGGAGAGGTGCATTCGTAGAACCACTTAATACCCGAATGAGTGACTCAACTCAATGATTTTGGATGAGATC